ACCTCAACCTACCTTACTGTTGTTATAGATGAGGATTGAGATTGTTAACGGTACAAAGGTTGAAGAATTTTTTGTATTCTTTTTTTTTTTTTTTTGGTATGATAAAAATTAAGAATTAAATTTTGAACATGTGACTATGAATGTAGGAAATTTTATTATCAAATCAAATGATTTTACATTGTTAATAAAATATATTTTCATTGGCCGTTCCAAAAAAAGGAACATCAATCTCTTTTTAATTTCAAGGATATATAGGTCATTTGTTACCATGAATAAGATTTTTTTTTTCAGCAGTAAGGATATTTTTTAGTCAATTTACATATATCTTGATATTATTCTTTCCATAATCTAATCAAATTAGTTCATTTACACTAATAAAGTGCAGAATAAACTCTTTTATCAATTAATACATGATTACTCGTTGAGTATTACTACAAACATGATAGTGTCTACAAGGGATGGGAAATGGAGGAAGATATAGGATTAGGCTGAGATCTTAGTCCAGTAACTATTAATTTTAAATTTTTTGTTTGAAAAAAAAAAACTTAAACCTGTGTAGTAGTTAAGTTAAGCCCTTGAAATCTGAGGTTTTATCTATTCGAATTCTAGTGTTACCTCAATGACTTTTAACACATAATTTTGTTAGTGGCCAAATTTCTCACCACATGCCTCTCTAAAGTCATGTATTGATAATTAGTTTTTCTTTTGTATTTTTTAAATTGAAAGACTAAGCAATTGGAACTATAGTATAATGTTTGTTTAGCCCAATCCCTGAAATGTTCTTAGTTATGAAAGCTAAAACTCATCAATCAAACACAATTTTTTTGAAGAGTGCCTTAATTTTTTTCTGATGTACTAGAAATTGAAACTTTAAACTTGCTATTTCTACGGTAGATTTTTTTTTTTTTTTTGTGGTTAAGCTTTTAAATTTGATATTTCCTTATTAATTTGTAAATCTTAATATGTATGAATTCGTAATTGATCAGCATTAGGCCAAGCAGTCTTATCTCATGTATTTTTCCATTTCATTTAGGTACTAAATTAGATGAGTTAGATGTTGATAATAAAATGACCCCAACCAAAACCCACCACTAATTTAACAAATTTTGGAGTTAAGATCCACATACTCTAAAAATTATAAGTTTATTAACAGTTGTTCATCTCTACAATTATACACCATTCACAATCATATATATTTTTTGAGTGTGAAATTGAGGTGTCACAAATAATATGCTGAAATGAGTAATAATTATCTAATTAGTTTATGGAACTAGAAATGGAGTGATTTGGATTCTACCTTATTTTTGTGGTGGAGAATTCTACAAGGGGAAAAAGGCCCTTTTTAATTATGACCCTAACACAATAATTACTACTAAATACTGCAAATTATATGAAACCAGTATAATTAAATCCCCAGAAAACAAATACTTGACATAACTCGAATAAGAGTCCTCAAGATTACATGGTCCCTTTCTACCCTATATACTAAGACTACTCAGGTTACATTTAGACTTGCTGTCCGATGAGCTTTTTCGCACAAGATATTATAAAAATGTTAATTTTGTGAAGATTAAATTAATTTTGATTAATTTTTTAATATTTATAAAAATATTGTTCCATGCTTTTTTCACAACAGCACACAATATACAAAATTAAGACCGATATGACAACGCTACACAACAACACTAAACATAGTCTTGACATCGGCACATTAAGTAGATGTTGATAAGACGCGAAAATGCTCATCTGATTTATTTACAACATTAGAACTGAATAACATTAGATGCCCAAATCTAAGATATGATTTTGAGAGAGGTTTTAGATTCAAATATCACAATGGTACTATATGAATAAATATACAAATATAAAAATAAAAACCCATATGGGATGGAATCAAAATGTTTAGTCCATGGGATTAAATTAATCAGAGGGACATAAATTGTACTAGATATATAAAATAACAAAGTATATGAAGCTAGCCTAAACAAAACGTAATTATTAATATTATTTATCATTATTGTTGTTATTATTTACATTTAAGGGGTTGAATAAAGAGATAAAAAAAATAAAAATAAAAAAGGGAAAGAAAAGAAAATGGGGAATTAAGAAAAAGAAAGGAGGGACAAGAACAGATTGGTACAGCTGTAAGAGGGCCCAGAATATGAGGTGGTAAGAACGTGGGTGGCGTTTCTCCAGGATTTGAGAAAACCTCCCTAACCCTAACTGCCAGCCATCTTCTCCATTATGCCCAAAGTCGGTGCACATGCGTCTTGCTTCCTTCTTCTTCCTTTTAATTTTCCCCTTTTTTTCTTTTTTGCATTTTCTCCTCTTTATTCATATTAATATCTTCTCTTTTTCATTTTGTTTTTTTCCTCCTTAATTTATATCTTTACAAACCCAAATGGGTTGGCGGGATAGCAGTAAGATTCTCGGTCTTCATAATTATTACTCTATTAATTAAGGAGAGCACCATGAGGATTTTTTTTTTTTTATGAGATAAATCGATTGATTGAAAACTTTTAAGAATAAAAGTGATGAGAACACAAGAAAAATGTTTGAATTATACCAATAGTTTAATTAGTTACTTTACATAAATTTTTTAAGAGAACATGATAAATTAATCTTTTAAAATGCCATATGTTATGACTATTAATTTGTATAAAAAGCATGCCAACATGAATTACTAGCCACATTAACTTATGTTTTTCCATAAAAAAAAAAATTAAAAAATTTTTTCTCTTATGTTTTGAACTAATTTTAATATTTATAAAAAAAAAACTAATTTTTATTACCAATAGTTTATGTTTCAAATCTAAGAACTCGGTTCACCATAAACCTTGAGTTAAGCTTAGGCTTGGCTAACAACTCTTTTGCGTAGAAGGTACGCTAGCAAATAAAGGAGGAAAGGTATTCAGATCTCGTTTGGGGGTTAGAGTGCAGTCTTGTAGTTGTAAGTTTTTTTTTTTTTTTTTTTTCGTAAAAATATATAAAATATTAGTACTTAAAATGATTAATAAGACATGAAACATTAATCAAAATTAATAATATAATGAATTTACATTTGTAAAAAGAGGTGTTATGTGAAAAAATATTGTATACTAACAATCCTAAATAAAATCTTAACCTTTTTAGTAAAAATGAAAGCTAGTAGTGGTACGGTTGACCTAAGGACTTGCTTTGTAGGTAGTAATAGTTATTTCTTTCGTAAAACTATAAAATTAAATTAAATTAAAATTAAACCAAAATGATATAGTTATAATATTATATGATATTATAAATTTATAATATGATGTAATGTTATATAATTAACTCTTTTTATTTAAAAATTCACTCATAATATTATATATATTAATTTATTAATGATATACCATGATTATAATTTTATAATTGTATGTGACATTATAATTATAAGATTATTAAAAATTAAGAAACTTTTATTAAAAAATTAAGGATAGATAAAGCTTAATATATAAGTTCCTTTTATATTATTAAAGAATTAAGAAAAACATATTCCTTAAAAATAAGAGAACATATTCCTCATCATTCATCCTTTAAGAGAAAATTATCAACATTAAAGTTTAGCTTAATTTGAACGTACTATAAAACTTCTCAATTTTACTTTAATTTTATAATTTAACCAAAAAATAATCACTACCACCAACCAAACATTGACTTTATTGTCTACGCCCCAATAATACCCAAATTTGCTTAGTTCAAAAGAAAATCCTCTTTGCTTCCCCTCTTAATTTATGAAATGACTTATAAATATATACAATTATGAAAGAAAAAAAAAATTTAAAGATAGGTAAAAGAGTTCAT